GGACTTCACCATTTCTTTCAGTTTTAAAATCCTTCATGATGTAGAAAAGGCTCTTGTTGAACTTTACCAAGCTCAGTTGCTGTCCCAGACTTAGTACGAGTCTTTCCTGAGTTTTTTTGAGAACTTACGGGCACTAAGGGATCAGCATCAGAAGGTGGAGCCGGTGGCTAATAGAGTGAAGTGCTATTAGGAAAAACAGGTGAAGGGTACAACTGCACTTCAGCAGTTGGTGGAAGAAGGGTTAGCGATGGAAGAAAGGATTGCTGTGGTTGATTTCGAAATCTAGCGTTTGGAAGAGCAATTGTCTTCTCTTAAAGCCGAGAAAGTAACCCTTACCAACCACCTCTCCCAAAAAGTAGAAGAAATGGCGAAGATTTCTCAAGAAGTTGAGGATTCCAAAACCTAACTTGTGAATAGCAATATGTATTTAGGAGAACCAAGCCAAATTTTCACCGTCGTGCAAATTTATTTTTCTAGAATAGTTGCTTTGGCCGAAGATGTAAAATTGTTGGACTAAGACTTCTGTGTCTTTTTCATGAAATGAATTCCTTTTCCGACTTTAACTTGATTTCTCTGATTTTTAGCAATGTGAACTCATATCCGCCCTTAGTAACTTGTTTAAAACCTTTTTGATAACGATCCCTTCATAATTTTTATGTTGCCCATAAAACACTTCTACGAGCTTTTGGTACTCTTTCCTTGATTATCTCTTGATCACGGATGGTTCCTGCTGCTAGCAACTTTATTATGGCTGTTTTGGATTTTTCGGGCATCTTTAGAGTTTCCTTTGTAGATCTTTCATTCTGTTTTTTCTTCCCACGTGGCTTTCCATTTTCCTCCCTTTGCTCATGCTAGGTTGATCACATTTATTAGGCTTCTGGGAAGGGATTCGTGTCAATCATCATGTTGGTCTGAGGTTTCTCCAGTAGCAGTTTTCCTTTAATGATGAGATCTTGTATCCAGTCTCTAAACTGGACACAATTGGTGATGGAATGATTGAAGATGTAATGCAGCTTGTAATACTTTTTTCCTCTGAACTCCTTGGGATTAGAGAGGTTTTTGGTGTTGTCGGGCACAATTACTTTTCCTGTACCAATTCCTTATAGATTTCTACAGCCTTGGTTAAGTCAAAGGAATAGCTCTGGTACTTTGGGGGTTTCAAGGGATAAATCCGCCATTGTTCATCACCACTTTTTGATATTTGACTGGTTGGACCAATCCCTTCACCATCAAAGGCTTAAAGGGAGTGGTCATGTCTGTTGCACACATGTCTATCGTTTCTCTCCTATGACTGTTGTTTTTGGCTCTCCCTCAAATTCCATTTGGTGGATGACAGTTTTACTTTTGTAGAAAGGTGGTGTTTTAAAGGAGTGCTTTAATTGCTGCTCTTCAAGCAACATTTTCTTATACTTAGTGGCTACAATCACTAACTCTTGTAACTCATTGAACTGCACATCATAAAATTTCTTTCTCAAGGGTAGTCTCAAGGCCTTTTAAGCAATAGCTATAAGCTGGACATGGTTGATAGGAAACTGGCATCTCATCCTTGTTCTTCTAAATCTCATAATAAAGTATTCAGTGGATTCATGCTCGTATTGTTATACCTCAACTAGATCGTTGATGGTCATCTCTAGCTTCATCCTGTAAAACTGCTCGTGGAACGCCATCTCCATTTGCCTTCAGTCAGCGATGGAATTTGGGGGCAACAAAGAGTACCAATGAGATGCTAAGCCTAACATGGAGTTCCCAAACAACCTCAACTTATAATTGGGATTGTCTTTAAATGCCACACAGTGGTTGGAGAACTTGAAGGTATGATCCTTGGAAGACACATTGTTATCTTCTCCGCTGAATGTTGGGAATGCGGGCATCTTGAAGTTGAGACGAAAGGGATTCTGCTCATCAATAAACTCTGGGTAGGGCTTCTGATAAGTGATTCTATACAGCAAGAAAGCTTGTGGCTGGGCATTCCTCACCACCATCCTTCTTAACTCAGCTAATTCATCTTTGAGTTGTTAGTTAGCTGTATTATTAGGCAGAGTATGAGGAGGCAGTTCCCACTTCGGGCTACGATCGTTGCCTATGTTAATCTCCTTTCTTGGCTCGGGCTTTCTCCACTTGAACTCTCATCCTTTAACAGCCATTGGTGGTGGCCTATAAGGAGGAAGCTTGTCTGCTTTGGTAAGCTCTTATTTCTCGCTAGATTCTCTGATCAACTGGGGCATCCTATACTTCGTTCTTTCTTGCCTACTCTGCCCCTTACTATTTAGTGAAAATAAGGGGTCTGGTAACTCTGCTTCCAGAATTTCTTCCAATACTGACTAACTAGCTCCAGATTCTTCCTTATTTTTTCCTTTATTCCTCTTTTCTTCAAGTGAAGGAAATAGAGGAATAACTGGTTCCTCCACAAGGCTAGTTTCCCTCATGGTTTCTTTAGCACGATCATTTTCTGGGGCAGGGTACTCCGGATCCAGCCTTCTTTGCAGATATCTTGTTAAGGAACAGAGTCTGCTTACTACCTCCCTTGTTTGTAGAGAGTTTCTCTCCATGCTCCTTATCACAGCCATCATAGTAGCCTGCAAGTCTTTATTTGTGAGCTTTTCTCCTGATTTCTCAGAAGGGGTCGGGCTTTCCATTAAGGCGGATCCTTGTAAGTCTTTGGGTAGATTTACCATGTCAGATCTTGGATCTTAATTGTTGTAAATCTTTGACCTATTTTGACAATATGATTATTTATGAAATTATTGTATTATAGTAAATGTGTAATTTTGTTGATTCTTATATATATATATATATATATATATATATATATATATATATATTAATTGTTGATGTTAGTCTTCATTTACGATGTACGACGTATGTTGGTTGATGTTAGTCTTCACTTGCTAAGAAATTTGAATCCTTAGTTGGAACTGTGATAGAAGAAATTACTGTTGGTCTTGGATGTTACTGTTACACTAGAACCACAAGTATGAAGCCAGTCCAATGATTTCTTAGGCAACATTGTTACATTGCTCACATAGATATCCTGCACATCCTTTTGGTGATGGTAGATAGAAGTTTCCTGGAATCGGTGAATTCCAGTGCTATGACAAGTGCATGTATGCTAAAAATCTTTCATTCCTGTGACAGAAAATTTGGTTGCTATTGAGCTTTTCCTATTTACAACGTTGTTCCTTTTAGGATGGGCGACCTAAAGATGGCTGCAGGCAAGGAAGGAAAGCCTTAGTGGGGAGGGAAGGGACCAAAAAATGCTGGCTGTTACAACAGTCTCCCATCTGAAGTTCCATTCTTTGAAGAGGGAGAGGAAAACATTCTTTCTGATTATGGGTGTTTTTTCCTTGTATGAAACTGATGGAAGTAGCTTGCTTTATTATTGCCCATGAAAAATTTCTGCATAACTGAAGCTTAGTGTAAATTGCACGAAATCATTGTTTGTATTTCATCCTCGAACTACCACATTGTTTCTTTAGCCAGGAAACACTTCTGTGTAGGTGCCTGTAAACAGCATGGGCCTACAATATATATTTTCAATCTTTAGTGGAACTTTTCTTATAACTAACTCTATTTGCTTCAAGGGGTTATACTCGCAGACTGTTTGCTAGTGGAGTCTTAAATACTCTTGCACAACATGATTAAAAGTAGATATGTTTTAATGATTTAATATGAAGTCATGACAATGGAATGGGTTCTTAAGAAACTGCACTAAGTTAGATGCAATTTGATTAAGAATGAAATGCATTGATGCTTGTCTTCTGGAAAGAAAAAAAAAAGCACCATAGGATGTACTGGTTGGTAAACTAAGGACAATTATGGATGTATAAGTGGAAATTTAAATTATGTATGGTTCTTTATCATGCAATACTTGGCATAGCATAATTAAACTTATTGGAAAACAATGTGGAGCTTAGGAGATCTTGTAAGAATTTCTGATCTCAATTATAATACTTCAAAATCTCTACACCTTAGGCCTTACGGGAAGGCTTTGATATATACACCACAACAACAACTTTACAGATTAAACTGTAAGTGACCGCATGCACACACATGTCGCAGCACCATCTATACACCTTTACACATTAAATTACTAGGTAACAGCACACACACATGCAGCAGCACTATCTGCTGTCTTCTGACATCACACATGGGAAAAAGCTTTAACAGTAACCAAGAACGCATGGGAAGACTTCGGACAGCACACATGAGTCAGCAAATGCTTGCTGTGCTGTCTGTACAGCTTGGCCTTCTGTCCTTCTTCCAATACTTGGGTTAACAAGAACAGCTTGAGCTTGACTTCGTCTAACAGATCTGACAGTGGCTTGACTTGTTGTAGGAATGGTACGGAGGTCAGTTGCTCCATCATGCAGATGATATTCTTGCAAAGGCAGCTAACATTATGAAGAAATATCAAGAATAGAAGCAAACTTCTATTCTATTGGCAGCTAAAATTGGTGGTACCAGACGAGAGCAGACCCTGCTGAATTGACAGCTTGAAACTACAACAGTGCTCTTAGAGAAGGTTATGATCATGTTGCTTCAATTTTGTCTCGTCATGGAGTTGCTTTGCATGTTTCGTAAGATTCTAAGTTTTAAGGTTCTGACTGGAATTTTGTTCATTGTCTAACCTGATAATTAGGGTTGCTTACACATTCGCTTGATTTCAAATGTATCTATTCTAGTAAGTTCACGTACTAAATATTTTATTGCAGCAGCTTAGAAATGATGGATAGTGATAACCCGGCATCCTATCTTTGCAGTCCAGAAGGATTACTCCAACATGTACAGTGCAGAAGGATTACTCCAATAGTTACGGGGCCTGTTAATTAATAACGCTTCCTTAGCTTGTTGCTTTGTTTGTACTTTTTTTGAAATTACTTCAGAAATTTTATCTGTATAATTCAAGCTTTTACGTTAGGTAAGACTAACCCATGTAGTTGTGCTTGTCACAGCAGGTCATGCAGGGTCTCTAGGTTCAACATGGGCTTGGAACGGGCCTATACGAAAATAATGTAGTCTTTGCAGATCCAAAAAACAATAAGAAAATGGATCCAAAAATATAGAGAACGAAAAGAACTAAGAGTTCACTCCTTCACAGTCCTTCAAATACTTAGTCTTGATTTTGGTGAGTGTGATTGCAACATCTTTCATGTTAATCCTCTCTCCCGGCAATGCTGCAGTGCAAGCTAAAGCTAATCTCATAACGGATGATAAGCAATCCCTCCTGCTCAGGAAATCACCATCTTCCTCTGTTCCAAGTATATCGGCATCCAAAACTTCATCTATAGCAGCATTTAGAAATAATGAATCTACAATCCATTGCTTTAAATTCATTTCCCCATCAAACATCTCATCCGTTGGCTTCCTTTTTGTGAATGTCTCCATGAGTACAATACCAAAACTATACACATCGCCACTCGTAGAAATGCTTCCTTCGATCCCAAACTCTGCAAAATTTGTATATGAATTTAGTTATATATGATAAAAAGGAAATTATAACTCCTAATAAGACCAACATATACAAAATTGAAAAAATACATCACCTGGAGCCATATATCCAACTGTGGCTAGGGTCATGGTTTCTGTCAATGAATCTCCACCGCTGATGAGTCTTGCAATGCCAAAATCAGCAACATGTGCAACCATATCATCATCTAGTAGTATATTGCTTGGTTTCACATCACAATGAACGATAGGTATCGAGTAACCATGATGAAGATATTCCAGTGCCAATGCAACATCTTTCATTATGTCCAGCCTCTGCAAGATGTTCATGGAGCAGTTTGGAGAATACAACCACTTTTCGAGGCTTCCATTAGGCATCAATTGAAGTATCAGGGCTTTGAAATCAAGTTCATCGCAGCAACTTATGATTTTAATAAGATTCCGGTGACGGATATTGCTTAACATTTCACATTCCCTATCAAAACTTTTGAATGCCCCTTCTAGCTGTAAATTGAAAACCTTGACGGCAATGTCTATCCCGTATGAAAGTGTTCCTCTGTATACTGAGCCAAAACCCCCCGTGCCTAGTAAGTTACTCTCGTGAAATCCATTTGTTGCCTTTACAAGTTCTAGACGCGAAACTCTTCTCCAAAGAACTTGATGTAGCGAGGCAGTTTCTCTTACAACTTCAACATTCCTTTTCTTGCATAGTATCAAAATCAATACAGCGGTTGCTAGGAGTATTACTGGTATGACCCCCAAGATGATATATTTAGCTTTCCTCCAATTTGGCTTAACTTTTGTTCTATTTTTGCACAGGGGAACATGGAGTCGGGAAGCACCGCAGAGTGCACCGTTGGATACAAATGAATCAGCAGAGAAGTTTCCGAAAGGCCCGCCGGTTGGAATTTCTCCTTGGAGTTTGTTGAAAGACAAATTCAGATGCTTGAGATACGAGAGTGCTTCCAATGACTTTGGGATCACTCCAGATAGATTGTTGTTGGACAAATCCAAGAATTCTAGGCTTAGCAAGGTTTTAAATGAACTGGGAATAGGGCCTTCTAAATAATTGTTTGCCAAGGACAAATTAATCATATTTTGAAGACCACCAATGCTACCGGGAATGTTTCCGGAGAAGTGGTTATTTGATAAATCTATATCCACCACATCTTTCAACTTTCCGATGTCTTCTGAGAGTGGTCCAACTAGAGAATTGGATGACAAGTTTAGGTGCAGTATATACTTGAGTTCCCATAAGGAAGATGGTATTTTTGAAGTTAACAAATTGGATTGTAACGATAGATTTCTTAGAGCTACTGCCAAGGTACCCAAGCATGAAGGAATAGAACCAGAGAGCCGATTACGACCCAAACCTAACACGGCTAAGTTGTTTAGTTGACAGAGTTCATACGGGATATGTCCTTGCAGTTTGTTATCATACAGAAACAAACCTTGGAGATTTTTTAGCCTCTGTATTGATGTTGGAATTGCTCCACTCAACTGATTGATTTCCAGATGTAGTTCTATCAAGCTGCTCAAGTTGGCAATATCAACGGGAATGTTACCCCTGATGTTGGAAATGCTTAAATCAAAATATGTGAGTGGCGTAGAGAGATTCCCACGAAAAGCTGGAATCGTGATGTTTAATGGATTACCTCCCAAGTCTAATGATGTCAAATTTCTAAGATTAAACAAGCAAGAGAGAGTAGAAGCATCAATCGTCAAATGATTCCAGAACAAGTGAAGACGCTCGAGGTTTTTCAAGGAACAGAGTGTGATGGGAATAAACCCGGTAAATGAGTTTATGGCCATGCTTAGGTCCCGGAGCTTGGAAGCATTGGAGAAGTTAGGGAGTGGCCCGGCCGCGAGGTTATTGGCGCCTATAGAAAGGAATTCTAGGTTTGGAACGTTAAGACCTATGTTTGCTGGGAGGCCACCTGAGAGCTGATTCAAAACAAGGGATATTACTCTAATCATGGAGTTATTGAAGAGTTTGGATGGGATGACACCATTGAGATTATTAATACCCAGTCTTAAATCCTCTAATTGCGGAAGATCACCAATCTCATCCGGTATTGTACCTGTCACAATTTCAGCACGTTTGCATTAACTTTGTAACTTCAGTTTAACTAAAAACTAAAAATGAAATAATTGTAAAAGGCCCTCAAATTTATTACCTTCTAAATTATTGTTGGAAAGAAAAATGTTGCTTAAGTGGGTCAAATTGCCAAGACTTTTGGGTATGCTTCCACGGAAATTGTTATCCTCTAATTCGATTACACGAAGCTCTTTGCATTGCCCCAGTTTGGAGGGAATCAGACCGTCAAGCTGGTTTTGATTCAAATAAAATCGTTGAATACTCGAAAGACGCTCACACATATTGTCCGGAAGACTACCACTCATGTTGTTTATAGATAAAGCCAAAGTAGTCAATGAAGATATGTTAAGGACAGGCACAAAGGCAGAGCCTTTTAGGGCATTGTCCTGCACAAACAACTCCTCCAGCTGACGTAAACTGCCTATCTCGTTTGGAAGTTCTATAAAATCAATATGTGCATATTGTTAAAATCATGTATACATATATAGGAGCAGCTTCTTAGTGGGAATCCCGTTGTACTGTAGCAAAAGTGGGATACATTCTAAGGACCATGTACTCACTATATAGGACCTCTTTTTTGCTCTAGAATACAAGGGTCTGACACGGTAAATATATGATAGTCCTCTTATCTCATTTTTTGCTGAAGCTGAACAAGATCCCAGCTAAGAAGGGGCTTGTGTGTGCGTGTGTGTATATATATGTAACAAAACCTAAGCCATACAGTATACCTTCGAACTTGTTGTCGTCAAGGTATATGCCCTTCACCATTGTTAAGTTGCCTATTTCTCTGGGTATGCTCCCTGTTAAATATGTGCATGCATTCCAACAAAAAAGAAGGGAAAAAAAAAAAAAGATGATTGTTATATATCTTATATATAGATATTAAAATGAAACAAAGACGTTAAAATGTAATCATGAAGCAAGCAACATTTATTTATATTCCTATAATGGTGGTACGTACGTACCTGATAGTTGGTTCCCGCTCAAAATAATTATTTTGAGTGCAGATAAGTTGAAGATAGCAACGGGTATGGAACCAGAGAAGCCATTATCGGCCAATGTGAAGGTTTGAAGTTTAGGGAAGGACCCAAACCACGAAGGAATGGTTCCCATAAAGCTATTGTTTTGAAAGTTAATCGCCTTCAACCGGTGCAAACGAGACAGTTCTTGGGGTAGGGGACCATGAAAACTATTATTCTGAAGGCCCAACTCAACAAGAAATGAGAGGTTACCTAGATGCGGAGGAATAATTCCAGCAAGACCCATGTATGAGAGATTTAAGGCCGTGACTCTCTGGTGGCGAGCACCACAGGTAACGCCAATCCAGTTGCAAATGTTGGAATTGGAGGCAGAGGACCAGTTGGCGGTTAAGATGTTTTGAGGGTCACTAGTGATGTGAGCTTTGAAAGCAAGAAGCGTAGACTGATCTGTGCTGAAATTGGTATGAGCTATTGCTAATGCACCTATAGTTACGTAATTAGCCATAATCATCATATAGGTATAACACAAGCAGTGTATCATTGACAACATTCTCGACAGTAGGAAACAACTTCTCTCCTTAATTGTAGTAGTTTTCGTCTTTCGGTTTAAATCCGATTGAAAACTAGAACTCATTACATTCACATAAATAGGGAAACAAGTTGGTGTTACCAAGACTTGTGCACGACTTAGACTTGCCCGGCTTCTACGTCAAGGTGCGGAAACTGAGACTAGTCCAACGAAGACATGTGATTTGGATTTTTTAACATATCAAACACACACCATTAGGCCACGACTTGAAGGTGGCGTGCCAATCCAGTTGCAACTTTAAAGTGAGCAATCAATGGCCGACGACTTCTGTCCATTTTGTGGGCACAGCTGGAGATGCCCAAATGTGGAATTTTAGTCTTCAGTTCACCATCAAAACAAACAACACCATAAATTTCAAGATGTTGTAAAATCGACGGTGTGTGTGCAGTGGAATAAATAAAATAAGACACAAAATTTATGAGATTCCTCTACAGTCAGTGTGACTGGAGTACGTCCTCGGGCAGCAGTGGTGCTTTCATTATAATTTGGAATAATAGGAGTACAAAGATAACTCTATTTATTCTCTCCTCTCCTCTTCCTCTCTTTCTCTTCCCTCATCTCTTTCTCTATGTGCTCTGTCTCAATTGATAGTAGTCGGAGTGCTCTATTTATAGAGTAACTCCGTATTATTACATTTTGAATAATTACACCACACCTTTGACAAATGATCTCCACATATCAATATTCTGCCAAGGTTTTCAATGATGTGGCAATGTTTTCAATGCTATGGCAAGGTCTTCAATACTGTGGGCATTCATTACCCACTATTATTTTCAACACAAGATTGATATTTAATGATGACATACATTCTATAAGTTGTTTTATTTCTTTCCTAATTTTTTGTCAGATTGTTGCTATGTTAATTTTGGCTAGATTGTGAATTTTAATTTTGGGTTGTTTTGTATGACTGTGAAGAGATAGAGAGGTGACCATGAGATAGGGGCATGGATTGTGAACTGGAGAGAGAGAGAGAGAGAGAGAGTTAACGACTGTTTAGTAGAAATTAATTTACAAAATAGTTAATGACCGGATAGTGGACATAACATGATACACTGATCGCATTTGAAAGGACCTTGAAGATAGTTTGCGTACCAAGCAAATAACTATGACCATGGTAAGTAATTTGTGTCATAGCTTCTTTGTTATATTTAATTGTGGATTAAGCATTCTTCTTAAAATAACTATACTTTTGATTGAGCATCCTTCTTTGTTCCAACTTCTTTCTGACCTAATGAGTAACCTATTTGATTGTATTTAACTCTATACATCAATCAACTATAAATTTCTTCGATTTTGACATTTTTTTATTGGTCACTGCTGATAATTTATACAACATGGTTGGGCATCATCACTAACATTGTTGAAAACTAGGTGTTCAGAATATTGTCTTAATCACAAATTATTTTCAATTAACATATGTGTATAAAATGGTAAGGGTTATATTTTAGTGAGTTCAAGAACTTGGGCATGCACTACCTGCAATTAGGGATGCTGATAAGGGATACCTGCTTCTGCAATAAAATCATCATTGACAATTATAAACTGTAAAAATTAATACTGAATTATGTATGATTGAAATTAGTTTTTGTCATGACACATTTTCCCTGGTTGTGATTTGTTGCAGTTCAAAGAAAAAGCTACATTCACTGAACATGAAATTGATGCATTAAGAATAGAGTGGGTTTGAGTATGTTGATGACTTCATCCCAATAGATAAAACATTAGACTAGCTGGTGTGTGAAATTTTAAATTAAGTGAACTTATAGTTTTATTTTAGTAGGAAAGATCTACACATTTTATTAAATGTGTTGAATGTGAGATTATCTTTTGTAGTACTTTAGTAATGGATGAATTACAAATTTATGAATCACTACTGGTTTATTTGAGGTAAGCATCCTGCTTTCTGGATGGATTATGTAGGTCTTGTTTTCAAATTAAAAATACATTACATATGTCATCAAATATATTTTAGGACATGTATTGAACGGTTTATGACACACTTTGTGCGTGGTTGCTAATATTTAATGACGTTGCAAATGGTTTCAATGCTATGGCACATCACGATATCCAGATGTCATGTTTAGTATACCATGATGCTCATTCCTTTGTTATGACACATATTCCAAATCTCAAATTGAAATAAATGACATGCTTCTTTTAATTCAATGACGCTTATTAGGTGTCTCTAGAAGCTATACATGACATTCTGCATATCTCATGTTTAGTTTACCATGACGCTTATTCCTTTGTTTATGACACTTATTTCGCGTCTTAAACGGTAATAGATGGCACAAGTTTTTAATTCAATGACGTTTGTTAGGCGTTCTTAAAAGTAATACATGACACTCTTTCAATGTCATAAAAAATATCTTTAATGAAACCCCAAAGATGACGCTAAACCCTTGTGTCATTAAACTTTTAACATGACCCATAAAATGCGTCATATATGTAAAAAATTGTAGGAGTGCAATTTGAAGGATTCAAGTTTAGCGAAGGACCCAAACCACGAAGGAATGGTTCCCATAAAGTTGTTGTTTCCAAAGTTAATCTTCTTCAACCGGCGCAAACGAGACAATTCTTGGGGTAGGGGACCATGAAAACTATTATTCTTAAGGTCCAACTCAATGAGAAATGAGAGGTTGCCTAGATGAGGAGGAATAACCCCGGCAAGACCCATGAACGAGAGATTTAAGGCCATGACTCTGTGGTGGCGAGCACCACAAGTAACGCCAACCCAGTTGCAAATGTCGGAATTGGAGGGAGAGGACCAGTTGGCGGTCAAGATGTTTTGAGGGTCACTAGTGATGTGAGCTTTGAGCGCAAGAAGAGCAGACTGATCTACACTAAAATTGGTATGAGCTATTGCTAATGCACTTGCAGTAAAGTAATTACCATAATCATCATATTCATATAAAACAAGCAATGTATCCTCGACAACATTCTCGACAGTAGGAAACGACTTCTCTCCATACGCAGTATATATATACTCTCCTTAATTGTAGTAGTTTTCGTCTTTTGGTCTTAATTCGATAGAAAACTTGGAACTCATTACATTCACATAAATAGGGAAACAAGTTGGTCTTACCAAGACTTGTGCACGACTTAGATTTGCCCGGCTTCTACGTCGAAGTGACGAGATTTGGACTATTTGAACGAAGACTTGTAATTTGGAATTTTTACATATAAAATACACCATTCATTTTTTGCTTATTGCTCAGCTATAGAGGCAAAATGAGATCAAAATCATAAACTATAAGGGCAAAATAAGATTAAAATCAAATTTAAGTAGGTACAGCTAAAAATAAGCCTTCATTTTTTGCTGATAGCTTAGCTAGGTGAGGGAGAATGGTGATTGCAGTGAGACCGATGTAAGTGAGACTCAAGGGCATGACTAAAAGGTGGCGTACACCGTAAGTAACACCAACCCAGTTGCAACATGGAAGTGAGCAATCAGCGGTAAGGATGTCATCTTCATTGACCTTTACTTTTGGTGAAACATCATGATGAGCAATCATCTTCATTGAAATTTAACAATTTTGGTAATTTGTGCTGCACAGCTGGAGTTGCCCAAATGTGGAATTGTAGTCTTCAGTTCACACTAGATCAAAACAAACAACATAGAATTGTGATCTCTACAATGCATTAAAAAAAGTAAGTTAAAATTTCTTGTTTTCTTGATAATTAAGAATTTGTTTGATAACTTTATTTTTATTTTTATGTACTCATTTTTTTGAAAACTAAAACTTTTATTTTGTACTACTTTTAATGTCTTTTTTTTTAAAGGAAATTGAAAAATAAAGGCTAAACTTTGAAAACTCAAGAAAGCAGTTACCAAAGAAGTTTACAATTTTCAATTTTAATAAAAAGTGGAAAAAAATGAAAAATGAAAAAGAAATGGATATTAGATAGCCTGTAATTAAATAGTCACTGAAATTGAGTGTCTCAAATCAATATGAGGCTTCCGTCATAATATTTTTCCATTTCAATCAAACCAAGCACGAACAACGAACCAGAAAGCTACAAGCTTGAAGCTTGAATCCCAATTTATTCATTTACTTCTTCTTCTTTTTTTCTTCTTTTTTTATTTTAAAAATTTTAATTATATAAAACTAAAAATTGTTTTCTATTATTTAAATATTTAAGACCCTGACTTTGTGGTGGCGAGCACCACAGCTAAAGCCAATCCAGTTGCAAATGTTGGAATTGGAGGCAGACGACCAGTTGGCGGTCAAGATGTTTGAAGGTCACTAGTGATATGAGCTTTGAGAGCAAGAAGCGCTGGCTGATCTGTGCTGAAAATGGTATGAGCTATTCCTAATGCACACACTTAAGTAATTAGCCATAATCATCATATTGATACAACACAAGTAATTTATCATCAACAACATTCTCAGCAGTAGGAAACGACTTGTCTCCATACGTAGTATATATATGCTCTCCTTAATTGTAGTAGTTTTCGTCTTTTGGTTTTAATTCGATAGAAAACTTGAACTCATTACAATCACATAAAAAGGGAAACAAGTTGGTCTTACCAAGACTTGTGTACGACTTCGACTTGCCCAGCTTCCACGTCGAAGTGACGAAACTTAGACTAGTCGAACGAAGACTTGTAATTTGGAATTTTTACATATAAAAACGCCAATCATTTTTTTTCTTATTGTTCAGCTATAGAGGCAAAATGAAATCAAAATCGTAAGCAATAAGGGCAAAATGAGATCAAAATCAAATTTAAGGAGGTGCGGCTAAAAATAAGCCTTCATTTTGTGCTGATAGCTTAGGTAGGTGAGGGAGAACGGTGATTGCAGTGAGACCGATGTAAGTGAGATTCAAGGGCATGACAAGAAGGTGGCGTACACCGTAAGTAACACCAACCCAGTTGCAACTTGGAAGGGAGCAATAAGCGGTAAGGATGTCATCTTCATTCACCTTTATTTTTGGTGAAACATCATCATTGAAATTTAACAATATTGGTAGTTTGTGCTGCACAGCTGGAGATGCCCAAATGTGGAATTGTAGTCTTCAGTTCACACTCGATCAAAACAAACAACAGAGAATTGTGATCTTCACTTAAAAAGCTTATTACAATTTCTTATTTTCTTTGTAATTAAGGAGTCTTTTGATAAATCATTTCGTTTTTAGTTTTTTTCTTTCGGCTTTTATTTTTTTTGAAAACTGAAACTTTTTTTCTAATTACTTTCAGTTTCCTAAAAAATGAAAACTGAAAACTAAAGGCTAAATTTTGAAAACTCAAGAAAGTAGTTACCAAAGAAGTTTACAATTTTCTTTAATAAATGAAAACTGAAAATAAAATTATTAGCAAACGGCGTGTAAATTTGTATAAACATGGTAGTCACTAGAACTATGGTCAAATGACATTCCTCTCTATTTGTAGATAAGAGGCTTTAAGTTCAACTCCCTTGATGACAAACTTAATACGTAATTATTATCAGTGGTGAAGCGACATAGGAGCAAGGAGGGGCGGCCGCCCCTCCTCTCGCCAGAAAAGAAACCCATGAGCGAGTAGCCGCCCCTCTAGTCCATCGGAAAGGCTGCAGGTGAGTGTTATTTTTTCTTCTGCTGCTGCGCGTGGTGGCTCTTTTTTCTGAAATGTTCAAGCCCAAAACGAAAGGAAGACACGGCGTCATTTGATTTAATGAAAAAAAAACTATATAATACAATATGGGGACCACCCCATTAACCCCAGCGTGGTTTTTTCAATGAAAAAATGTATAATACAATATGGGGACCACTCGGCCCCATTAATCCTTCATTCTCCCAGTTCCAAATGGAGTAGGATTTTCTCCGCACCTATTATCTTCCATTTACATCCCCTCCTCTCATATATTTCTTTTTGTCTTAGTCTCTATATAAAAAAATCTAAAACAAGATGTAGATGTAGATGTGGCGTAATCGCAATCGTTTAAATAGGATGGGATGGAAGAGGAAAGAGATTAGAATGAGAGAGAATAATACTCGGTCCCAAATTCCCAATCCCCTCACCCAAATCTGTTATTTTGGCCAGATTACCCCCTTCCTTTCCAACCTTCAAGCCAAGCCTTAGCCAGCGGCTTCCAGTTCAAACCAAGAAGCTGCTCAGCCGGATTTTAAAGCCAATTTTTAAGTTAAATTTTTAGTTTTTTTTTTAATTTAAATTCCTAATTGATAATTTAATATTAAATTGTGTTTAATTGATATGGAATTATAGCTCATGGTATTAATTATTAATTATTGATATCAATTATAATCATGAATGAAATGGTTTATTATTGATGAATTGAATTAATGATTATTGAATAGCTTATATGATTATAAATAATTTATGTGATTATTGATATTGATTAATTAAATTGTTAGTTTAATTAGTTATTAGTCATATAGTAGAGTATACTATAATATTAAGAGTCTAAGATTATTATTATTATTATTATTCAGTATACAGTTACGTAATGGAAGATTATTATTATTATTTTTTCATTATACAGTTACATAATGGAACAAAACTATAAGAAACAGTGTTATAAATATTCTAAAACACCACTGCACAGCAAAATGGAAATCCATTGTTGACTGGTAGCTTGGTTTTTTACATTGAAAGAGATGTTTTTGCTTTTATTAATAATGAACTTATCATGCCACATTTTTATGATTTGAAACCTCGCCTGCAGAATTGTAACTATATTTCTTTGTATTGATACATTATAAATGACATTAATATTGTCTAACATGTAAAAGGATTTGGTTGCATATTTTTTTTTTTTTATTAACGCTTTTAAATTTTTCTCCTCCCCTCACTTATTCTGGCTTCGCCACTGATTATTATGGCAATGAACGTACACACACGTTCGAACCAGATTCTCATGTTCTGAAACATACTTGTCAACCTCGGGACCAACCTCGACATTGTTTTCCTGCATGCGCCTCTTGTTCCCAACCAAAACCATTTTGTCACCAAAACTTCCACTAACGCTACCTCCTGTGTGCACCCCAAAGTCCTTGGTCTCCATCGCACGTTTAGTTGATCCAAACTTTTATACTAGTTGGAGAAGAGTCCCTGTTTTATCAAAAACAACTGTTTTCACCTGCAAGGATCAAACACGTCCGTAAATGTCCATAACCATTTGTTCAACTTTTAATTTTGGAACGAAAGAAGAAACCAAAAAGAACGAAACAATTATTAGCCTTGTTATAAAAGGGAGTTGTCATCTACAAGAAATGGGTATTTAAAACTTGGCTCGTATGGCTTGGTGACATGGACAAGGTGCATACAGGCATCAATCGTCCAGAACCAAAGGGTCATGTGGAAGTTGTCATCAGTGGGACAGATTCTAACTGTGAAATAATAGTTGCATGTTCAATCCCAATATATGCAGAAAGAACATCATCCATACCCAATGACATAGATTGCATTTAGTTTTATGTCAAGAGCCTAAACGTTGACAGAAGGGAGGCAGAGCGTTTTACTGGTCAGAAATGAAGTGCATAACTTGTTATAATACGGAACATCAACATAATCTATGTTGGTAGCATAGGTGATAATATGAAATGACCAGACCAATATTACGAGGAGAGCAACTTTGTAACTGAGGAAAGACAAGGAAAAAAACTACAGTTGCATCCTCAAGACAAATATAGATAGTATCTAATCAGTAATTGTTTTTCACTAATACCAAAACAAACAGGTTTTCTACATCCTCGGAAGAAAAAGTAAGTAGGAACAAGTATAATGAAGCAACTAAAAACACCAGCAAAAACAACATGAAAATAAAATGCATGAAAACCAGATTCTAAATTAAAAAAGAAATTTGTTTCCAAGGATAAGGTGGTCTTACCTTATAAGCCTTTTCGAGTACATTTCCACCCTTGATAAGAACACTTGCAAAGCACCGTTCTCTGTTGCAACCATTATTGCTGTAGGAGTTGCTAGTCCCAAGGCGCAAGGGCAAGCAACCGCTGACGCTAAGATGCCGAACTGTAATGCCAGCTCAAATTTATCCATGCCTTTTGGCATCCAGTTTTCGAGGAAAAGACCAAATTCTCCAGGGATGAACCATCCAAGCCATGTCAAAGATGCTACAATGACAACTTGATGTAAGAAAAAGTAATCGATTATGCGATTGAAAAATTGTCATAGAACGCGGTGTACTTTGCCTCCAGCTACCATTTACCCAATTTGTCAGGCAACAAAATTCAACTTTAAAACAAAATATGATTTTTGGGAAAGAAAAAGCTCGAAAGTTATTGGATAAAAAGCTCAAAAGCGGAAAACTAAGCAAAAGAATAGGAAAGAAGCCAAAGATATATAAAGGAAATGAAATGACGAGAAACCTCAAATGACGAAAAGAAGAAAAGCAACCCCTAGAATATAGTCTGTTGATCTTTTAAATCAAGAATGGCATTTTCATTAAGAAAAAGATCTCCTGCTGACAGTCAGATGCAGCTAAGTGCATTGAATACTTGTCCATATCCAATTTTCAGTTTTAGTTTGCTTTTGGTGAAAGTATGACGGGAAAAAACACAAAAAACTTCACCCGCTAAAAAAAGGTACTCATTAATTTATCTTATAGGAAGCAGGAATGCGAAATAGAAAGTTTGATGATTAAACAAAAAAACTCACTGTTGGAATAAACAGCTTTGACTCTGGTCAGCTAGTTTCTGAACAAGTGCTCTGGCAAGCTGCGGAGCTTCAACAAGTTGAACTATTTGGGACAGTGCAGTCTCCGAACCAACATACTATGTGCTGGTTAGTAAATTAGGGACAATTATGGAGTATAAGTGGAAAATTAAACTATGGACAATTAAGAAACTGCACTAAATTCCCTATCATGCAATACATGGCTTGACTCGTTGTATGAATGGTACAGTGGTAGGTCGCTCCATCATGCAGATGATATTCTTGCAAAGGCAGTTAACAGTCTGAAGAAATATCAAGAATAGAAGCAAACTTCTATTCTATTGGCAGCTAAAATTGGTGGTACCAGACGAGAGCAGACCCTGCTGAATTGACAGCTTGAAACTACAACAGTGCTCTTAGAGAAGGTTATGATCATGTTGCTTCAATTTTGTCTCGTCATGGAGTTGCTTTGCATGTTTCGTAAGATTCTAAGTTTTAAGGTTCTGACTGGAATTTTGTTCATTGTCTAACCTGATAATTAGGGTTGCTTACACATTCGCTTGATTTCAAATGTATCTATTCTAGTAAGTTCACGTACTAAATATTTTATTGCAGCAGCTTAGAAATGATGGATAGTGATAACCCGGCATCCTATCTTTGCAGTCCAGAAGGATTACTCCAACATGTACAGTGCAGAAGGATTACTCCAATAGTTACGGGGCCTGTTAATTAATAACGCTTCCTTAGCTTGTTGCTTTGTTTGTACTTTTTTTGAAATTACTTCAGAAATTTTATCTGTATAATTCAAGCTTTTACGTTAGGTAAGACTAACCCATGTAGTTGTGCTTGTCACAGCAGGTCATGCAGGGTCTCTAGGTTCAACATGGGCTTGGAACGGGCCTATACGAAAATAATGTAGTCTTTGCAGATCCAAAAAACAATAAGAAAATGGATCCAAAAATATAGAGAACGAAAAGAACTAAGAGTTCACTCCTTCACAGTCCTTCAAATACTTAGTCTTGATTTTGGTGAGTGTGATTGCAACATCTTTCATGTTAATCCTCTCTCCCGGCAATGCTGCAGTGCAAGCTAAAGCTAATCTCATAACGGATGATAAGCAATCCCTCCTGCTCAGGAAATCACCATCTTCCTCTGTTCCAAGTATATCGGCATCCAAAACTTCATCTATAGCAGCATTTAGAAATAATGAATCTACAATCCATTGCTTTAAATTCATTTCCCCATCAAACATCTCATCCGTTGGCTTCCTTTTTGTGAATGTCTCCATGAGTACAATACCAAAACTATACACATCTCCACTCGTAGAAATGCTTCCTTCGATCCCAAACTCTGCAAAATTTGTATATGAATTTAGTTATATATGATAAAAAGGAAATTATAACTCCTAATAAGACCAACATATACAAAATTGAAAAAATACATCACCTGGAGCCATATATCCAACTGTGGCTAGGGTCATGGTTTCTGTCAATGAATCTCCACCGCTGATGAGTCTTGCAATGCCAAAATCAGCAACATGTGCAACCATATCATCATCTAGTAGTATATTGCTTGGTTTCACATCACAATGAACGATAGGTATCGAGTAACCATGATGAAGATATTCCAGTGCCAATGCAACATCTTTCATTATGTCCAGCCTCTGCAAGATGTTCATGGAGCAGTTTGGAGAATACAACCACTTTTCGAGGCTTCCATTAGGCATCAATTGAAGTATCAGGGCTTTGAAATCAAGTTCATCGCAGCAACTTATGATTTTAATAAGATTCCGGTGACGGATATTGCTTAACATTTCACATTCCCTATCAAAACTTTTGAATGCCCCTTCTAGCTGTAAATTGAAAACCTTGACGGCAATGTCTATCCCGTATGAAAGTGTTCCTCTGTATACTGAGCCAAAACCCCCCGTGCCTAGTAAGTTACTCTCGTGAAATCCATTCGTCGCCTTTACAAGTTCTAGGCGCGAAACTCTTCTCCAAAGAACTTGATGTAGCAAGGCAGTTTCTCTTACAACTTCGACATTCCTTTTCTTGCATAGTATCAAAATCAATACAGTGGTTGCTAGGAGTATTACTGGTATGACCCCCAAGATGATATATTTAGCTTTCCTCCAATTTGGCTTAACTTTTGTTCTATTTTTGCACAGGGGAACATGGAGTCGGGAAGCACCGCAGAGTGCACCGTTGGATACAAATGAATCAGCAGAGAAGTTTCCGAAAGGCCCGCCGGTTGGAATTTCTCCTTGGAGTTTGTTGAAAGACAAATTCAGATGCTTGAGATACGAGAGTGCTTCCAATGACTTTGGGATCACTCCAGATAGATTGTTGTTGGACAAATCCAAGAATTCTAGGCTTAGCAAGGTTTTAAATGAACTGGGAATAGGGCCTTCTAAATAATTGTTTGCCAAGGACAAATTAATCATATTTTGAAGACCACCAATGCTACCGGGAATGTTTCCGGAGAAGTGGTTATTTGATAAATCTATATCCACCACATCTTTCAACTTTCCGATGTCTTCTGAGAGTGGTCCAACTAGAGAATTGGATGACAAGTTTAGGTGCAGTATATACTTGAGTTCCCATAAGGAAGATGGTATTTTTGAAGTTAACAAATTGGAGTGTAACGATAGATTTCTTAGAGCTACTGCCAAGGTACCCAAGCAGGAAGGAATAGAACCAGAGAGCCGATTAGGACCCAAACCTAACACGGCTAGGTTGTTTAGTTGACAGAGTTCATACGGGATATGTCCTTGCAGTTTGTTATCATACAGAAACAAACCTTGGAGATTTTTTAGCCTCTGTATTGATGTTGGAATTGCTCCACTCAACTGATTGATTTCCAGATGTAGTTCTATCAAGCTGCTCAAGTTGGCAATATCAACGGGAATGTTACCCCTGATGTTGGAAATGCTTAAATCAAAATATGTGAGTGGCGTAGAGAGATTCCCACGAAAAGTTGGAATCGTGATGTTTAATGGATTACCTCCCAAGTCTAATGCTGTCAAATTTCTAAGATTAAACAAGCAAGAGAGAGTAGAAGCATCAATCGTCAAATGATTCCAGAACAAGAAAAGACGCTCAAGGTTTTTCAAGGAACAGAGTGTGATGGGAATAAACCCGGTAAATGAGTTCGTGTCCATGTCTAGGTCCCTGAGCTTGGAAGCATTGGAGAAGTTAGGGAGTGGCCCGGCCACGAGGTTATTGGTGCCTATAGAAAAGAATTCTAGGTTTGGAACGTTAAGACCTATGTTTGCTGGGAGGCCACTTGAGAGCTGATTCAAAGCAAGGGATATTACTCTAATCATGGAGTTATTGAAGAGTTTGGATGGGATGACACCATTGAGATTATTAATACCCAGTCTTAAAACCTCTA